CGTCGAAGGTCCTTTTTTTATGTTGTTCTCCTTCGATCCTCTGGAGATCGGTTGTCCAAGGATAGAGTCCTGAGAGATGGGGTCTTAAGGACGAGGTGCGTCAGACAGGGACACGTGGGTCCATTCCTACCCTTCGGTTCCCATCCCTCAGGACACAGGACCTCATCTTTGAACCACCTGGGAGACCTCCATCTTCGTCGGCTGCCGTCGGCGGCGTTGCCGCTGACGTGGGCCGCCGCCGCTGGCGACGTCCGTCGCCGTCGGCGCCGCCGCCGCCAGCGTCGTCGTTCGCTCTTCTTCGCCGTCGCCGCAGCGCAGCGTCGAGGATCGAGGGCGGAGGATGCGGCGCGTGGGATTCAGTTGGGCGACGACAGGAAACGGATCTTGCGCGAAATGATCTAGCGACCTCACGCGGTGGCTTACGCGGGCCGCTGGCGCGGCACGTTACATTGCAGACGAGGGTCGGTAGCGCGGCTTCGAAGGTCGAACATATTCTTCTTCGTCATGCGATTTCGTCGCCCGCCATTCGTTAATCGATAGTGGTCGTGGTTTTCGCTTCATCGGTCGTCGTCATCACGCCTGGCCCCGGTGCGTTCGAGAGGGAGCCAAAAAGGGGGACGGGCATGGAATACACGATACAGCACCGATCGATCGGCGAAACCGCGCGTCGATGTTCCCCTCCCCCCCAAGTCCGGACGACAACGAGAGGAGGGGAACAGAGGAGGACGACGACGACGACGACGACGAGGACGACGACAAGGGATGACGGGGGAAAACGACGACGTCCAGGACGACCTCCTTACTTCTCTAAATGCCTCAGGAGACCCAGAAACGTCAAATAGGGCGTGTCCCCCTACAGGCGGATGTTGAATAAAGATGGGAAACAATCAACAACAACAACAACAACAACAACAACAACAACAACAACCACAACAACAACAACCACAACCACAACAACAACAACAACAACAACAACAACAACAACAACAATAACAACAACAACAACCGCAACAACACAAACACCAACAACAACAACAGCAGCAACAACAACAAAACAACAACAACACCAACAACAACAATAACAACAACAACCACAACCACAACAACAACAACAACAGCAACAACAACAACACCAACCACAACCACAACCACAACCACGACAACAACAACAACAACAACAACAACAACAACAACAACAACAACAACAACAACAACAACAACAACAACAACAACAACAGCAGCAGCAGCAGCAGCAGCAACAACAACACCAACACCAACACCAACACCAACACCAACACCAACAACAACAAGCATATACACATTGTAAAACGTTGTCGAAAAATTGTCCCCAGACCCTTGTTTTAAACCATTCGGAGCATTCCTCCTGTAGAGGGACACGCCCGACTTAAACATGGCGCCTACAAGCTGGCGGCGCGCGCGCTGGGGCGGCGCAAGGGGGGGCGGCATTCCAAGCGGGGCAGCGCTGCAGAAGACGGGGGGGGCCTGTGTGGAGGGGCCGAGGGTCTGCCTGGAAGGCGTATAAGACACCCCACCTTCCTAGAAGCCCCCCGCCTGCCTCGAAGACCGCGCTCCTCGCGCCACCCTCGGTGCGCGCCCAGCCACGCACACCTCGATCCTCGATTATCCTCTTCTTCTTCTTCTTCTGCCTCCTCCTCCTCCTCCTTCCCCGGTATCCTCCTCCTCGTCCCCCTCCCTCAACACCACTCCCCCCTCCACCCTCCGGGCTCCCCCCTTTCTCTTCCTCCTCCCCCACCTCGGTCAGTCGGTCGGCCGTGGCGCAAGAGAGGTCGAAGCGCATGGAAAGAGAGCAGAGAGAGAGAGAGCCCAATGAGTGAAGAACAAGGGGGCAACAGCAGGGGCAGGAACGCAGGGAACCTGCCAGCTGGAGTGCTGGGCACTATCGCTAAAGTCGATGGACACTAAGGGGCGGAAAATTGAAGGAGAGCCGAGGATGGAAAAAGAAAGAGGACCTTCCCCAGGCTAGATAGTTGCTCCCCTGACGGGGGCAGCCAGACCCTATGGGCCCCTGGCATCACACAGAGGGTACTGCCTAAGGTTGGCGCTACCGCGATGATCTGATGTGATCCTGGCATCTTCTTCCCCCCTGTGCCCTTCAATATTCATCACCTAATGCTGCAAACTCTGCAACTCCAGGCGAGGAAAGAGAAAGAGAAGAGGAGAACTCACCGTCGTGGTTAACTGTGCGACGCCCATTCCTGATACGGAACAAGACGGGGAGGCCTTTGTGAATGGGCCGAGGGTCTGCCTAGAAGGCGTATAAGATACCCCACCTTCCTAGAAGCCCCCCGCCTTCCTTGAAGATCGCGGGCCTCGCTCCACCGTCGGTGTGCGCGCGGCCACACACACACACCTCGATCCTCGATTATCCTCTTCCTCATCCTCCTCATCCTCCTCGTCTTCCTCCTCATCCTCCTCCTCCCTCTCCTCCTCGTTCTGCACCTCGGCGAAACCATGGATGTTGGTGCTTCTCCCCTGAGCCCATCCCCTTACATCAGGGTTGGGGGGAATCGTCCTCCTGCTCCTCGTCATCCGTCATCCTCGCGCTCCTCCTCGACCCTCGATCCTCAGAACGCCTCCTCCTCCTCCTCCTCCTCCTCCTCCTCGCCCCTCTCTCCGCGCCCGCCTCCGCCTCCCCCTCCCCTTCCCCCAGAACTCCGGGAGCGGCCAAGAGGGGGGTGTCCAAGAGGGGGGGGTGCAAATCATGACCGGCGGCATGTATGCGGCCCAGCGGGGGGGCCTGGGACGTAATGAAATAACAAGAGGCGCCATGAAATCTGAGGAAAAATCATGGCCCGCGCCATGAAATCCACCCCCCCCTAGTCATCACCCCCCTCTTTTCCGCTCCCGAGAACTCCCGTCGGCCACCATCCGGTCAGGCGTGCGGGTCGGAGCTGCACGCCCAGCGCAGAGGCCTCCCAGGACGGCCTGCCGCCGACCCGGGGGAACCTTCGGCGGCCCTCCTGCGGCCGCGCACCGCCTCCTCGGCCCGTCCTCGCCCGGGGGGGTCCTCTGGTGAGCGGCCCGCGCCCCGAGGGGTGGACCCTGAGGTCGGGCGTGTGCCCCGGCTTGCTGATTTGGGACGAAAGATACAACAATACGCCAAACATACTCACACATTGCCAACAAGTTCGCCGGCCCAACGGGCCAGAGGCGTGCTAAGATCTCCGACAACTGGTTAACAATAGTTCTAGTTCGCGCGCGCGGGGCCGCCCCTGGGGGTCCCCGGACGAAAAGTACCCCGGCAGGGTCCCGGCAGATTCGGGTCAGAGATGGTTTTGAGGGCCTTTTTTCGACACCCCTCACAAGGATCGCGGCCTCCGA